TAGTGTAAAAATCTGTGTAAAAAATCTTCTGAGATGAATAAGGCTCCATCGGTGAATAATCCATCTCATTCTCCTGCATGCCTTCATCCCAAGCAACGCCGTGAAAACCGGCACATTACAAGTATTATGTTTCTTGAGCATACTCCTACATTACTACATGTGATAACTACTTTATAATGTTTTATTTTCCAACCAATTTCCTGCAAAATATTTTCAATGGTTATGCCAAATTCTCGTGTGCACCAAAGATTTATTGCATTTTTACTAGTCTATCTGAGGCATATTACTATATGTCAGAGTTTCTGTGCCTTGCCGCTGTATAATGATCGAAACAGCTGTGACTGCATGCTGTGGTGCTAGTTCTGCATAATTCATCCGCATTCTCTTGCACAAGTACACAAGAGTTTACGTCTCCTTTCCTTTCTAGGGGGAGATGATTTGATGTCGGGCACTTCATGTCCTAAATTCAAAAATACTAATCTCGGAATCATGAACCTTCAGTTGCGGGATGCGTTGTATAGCACCACACAATGGCTATATTGTGTAACCATTGCTACGCGCTAATGTCCACTCTCTGAATAAACAGTCTCCTCCCTGTTCTCGGCCGAGCGTGACGCTCCTTACAGCGCTATGGCACTAACGCAGTCATTGTCTCCGTCGTAGGGTGCATCCGGCGGCGATACAACACTCGGCTGTTCGCCAGGCTCATTGTACCAGCTCCTTCAAAGAAGAGCATTACGTAATACACTTAAAGTTGGCCATTTAAACATCTGATGATCAACTAAGTTAGGTGAGGATGGCTTGTGCGCAGACTGTAAGGTACAGTGTTTGTGTGAAAACAACAGCGTTCGCCGTTGCTATGGGTCACATCGTTGGAAGGCACTGCGACTGTGTCACCGGGAGAGAGATTTTTCATATATAGGTAAAGCATACTACAGGTGTTTCTAGCATACTAATATACGTGCCTCAGGTTAAAACTGCTTAGTGTCAAATGACGATAAAAATTAATATGCTTTTTCCTAATACGCTACATTCGATATCTTCACGTAACAGGAGTTTCTCCTGCCATACATAAAGGGGCTACGGATGCAACTGCCACTATTGTGATTAATAAATTACCCATGCTCTATCAATAATGGTTTGTGTAGATACGTGAGAGCACATCCTCGCATATTAACGAATGTATTGTACAGTCTACTAGAAACGCTGATATATGCGAGAGTTTTGTGCTGCCAAGGTACACTCAAGAAATCGGAAACCGATCGGCCAGCACTGGTTCGGCACCCATGGCGAGCCGCATGCACAAAACTCTTTTCAGCACGTAGCATCGCAGAGGAGAGCCTGTCAAAGTTAGCGCTCATTTCTCGGTTTAGGCTGCGAAAAAAACCAGCGAGAACTCAATATACAGACGATGAAGGCACAACCAATCACACACAGTCCCTGGTAGTTTTCATAGGTTGTTCTCGCAACGAAACATAAACTATCAGGCCCTGCTCTTCACGCTACTACCTCGGTAAAATAATTCGCGCAGTGTGCTGGTGTATTTGCCCTAACTACAAAAGCAAGGCCGCTCAACCACTTCACACGAATGTATGACCGACAGCCAGCTGGACTGATGTTTTCTACCCAAAACCGAAACACCGGTAGAGGGCACTACCTGTACCATTACAGCAGGGATCGATACACATCTGGGGTGTTGAGGAAGATAGATTAGATTGGAGATTTAGCAAGGAAAAATCAACAGTCATGATTTTTAATGATAATGTAGGTAGTGAGTTTCGAACACAGGAGGTCACGCTAGAGATAACGGATAGGTGCGAATATCTGGGCGTATTGATAAGAAATGGGACGGAGTATTTAAGGGAACATGAAATATACGTAACGACTATAAAGGTAATAGGAATGCAACGATGATGAAAAATAGGGCACTGTAGAATTACAATAAGTATGATGTTGCGAGAGGAACTTCGAAAGGGGTCATGGTTCCTGGTCTGAAGTTCGGCAATGCGGTCTTGTGCATGAGATGGCTTAAGCAAGATTAGAAATTAAGCAATGTGGAATAGGTAGGCTTGCTTTAGGAGCTCACGAGAATACACCAAATCAGGGAGTACAAGGTGATATGGGTTGGATATCATTCGAGGGCAGCGAAGCTAGTAGCAAGATAAAATTTGAAAAGCAATTAAGAGAAATGAGCGAGGAACGTTGGGCTAGAAAGGTTTTCAGCTATTTGTACATGAGAAATTTCGTTACAAAATGGAGAAAGCGAACCAGAAATTCGACGAGTAAATGCTAGGAAAACAGCAGGGGGCCAAATTAGAAAAAACTATAAGTTAAGAAAAAGGTGAAGGACATGGAAACTGACATGTAGGGAATAGGTATGATTGAAAAGTCGGCCCTAGAGATTTTTTGAACTTATAAGCAGGAAATCGCCAAGAAAAGGATCTGTGATAATTCTTGGGGTAGTTCCCTTTGAGGGCGAGATAGGAGCATTGCGAACCAAAACTTATCAGGTCGCTACACCGCCCCTGCAGTGCAGTTTCGTGCGTGACGAGTCATCCCAAGGTAAAATCAAGGGCCAAGGCTACATACAATCAAACACAAGTGGCACAGGACCCGAAACACTTCACAGCCACCAAAACACGCCGAAGTCAGGCTATGGTGACTAGGAGGAGAGGTGTCAGCATCGGCGTGCCGGAGAGCGAGTGAGAATTCATCCGCGTGCTGCAGCGCTGCGGTCGCTTTCGAGATGCCCCTCTTCGCGCTCGCCGTGCGCATCAGTCATTTTTCGCCATCAGTCATCAAGCGAAGGAATAGACATGGCATGCAGTGCATGTGGAGAGGAGTAGGAAACTGCCGAACACTTGATAATGTTCTATAAAGGGCTTGCGCAGAGTTTTTCAAAGCACTGAAGTTTAGGGACAGGGAGACATCTTAGGCGGGTAGAAATAACTAGGAGGAGGTTATCTGATTGTTGGCTATAATCAAGGCACGAGTGAAAATAAATTTTTCAATGCACCAGTCCTTAACTTCTATTGCAAGGGTGAGGGGAAGAATCTAGTTTGTGTTCACGAAGTATTACGGCTAGGTGGAGCTAGCCGCCGCCCGATCTAAATGGTACAGCCATATCAATCAATCCATCCATTCACCATGCTCATGCGCAGTCGTTTTCCCACAAATGATCGATTGAGTAACCATGCCCGTTCGAATGGTTGACCAATATGGGACCCCCTTCTACATCAACTGGTCAACCCATTCCGCCGTAATGATTCACCATTCAATATGAACTGGTGTACCAAATGAATGCAATTAATGCGTAGCAACTGGAGGCGAAATTCGAATTGATTGAAAACCACTTAGATTTTTTAATAATAGTAATAATAATTTTTATTTCTGCCTAAGAAAATACATTGACAGGGGAGCTGCAGAAAAAGCTGTAGTAGACAGCTTGACCGAGTCGCAGCCCCTAAATACAAGGCAACAGCGAAGGCACTTGAAAATTCAGTTGAAAGCGTACATGGAATTTCATGTTACAAAGTATACATAGCATACATAAACTTCATGTTACAACTGCACATCAAAACACACAAGAAATGAACAGAGTGTTGTTTACACTTCCTACACACAGCATCAATTCATCAATTGCTTCCTCAATATAATAGTAATTATAATAATCCTAATGACAAAAATAACACATTTCAAAGACCATCATGTATCAAATATGAGCACAAATAAAAATACATATACAAATACATTTTGACATCCATTTCGGATTTTAACAAACTTAAATTATATGCGGGGGTACATCCTTATACATAGAATGAAGGTTTTTAAAGGTACAGGTATATAGGCCAATGTTTGCAGATGTGTATGTGTATGCGAAACTCGGGTGTAATCCATGGTTTGAGAGTTTTTCGAGATGACTTACATGTTGTAAAGGAAAAATGGGAGTCATATACTTGTTTGAAAATATCGATAAACTTATTGTAGGTTTCATTGGCATTTGTAAGGTAAAGAATGTGGTTGAAGTCAACCCTTTTAAGAGCGTTCCAAAAAGCTCCAAGTGCGTCATCTGTTATGCGCTGGTACCTAATAACTTTTGGCTGTTTTAGTTTTTGTGCCGCAGAATCCATGCTGAAGAACACTGGTAGATGGTCACTAATGGGGCATGATAACGCCCCCGTCCTGATTTTAGGATGAGAGATATTAGTAATGAATAAGTGCAAGGTTGACTGGCTTTCAGCTGTGACTCCGTTGGGCACATCAAGTACATTCGCAAAGCCGTTTGAAGCTAAAACCGTGTCAAAATCTCTGCTACAATGATTGTTAATGCTCATATCAATATTAAAATCACCTCCAGCAATAAGCGTGTAGCCTCCGTCAACTACGAAACAAAAAGTGGTCATAAAATTTTAAAAACGTAGCTGCATTTCCGCTTGGTTGGCGGTAACAAACAGAGTTACTAAATTTACCCACACACACATTGATATTATTTCGTAGTCCAATGTGATTGCAGTGAATGATCTCAACAGTTCACCATTTTCATTCACACCCACCAGTAGTGCCACTCCTCCACCACGATCAACAGGCCTGTTAATGTAATAAGTGTTATAATTGCTGATATTGAAAACATTATGTTCACTGGTGCTCTATGTTTCGGTCAGCATAATCGCAGTGAACTTAAACTGAAATTTATAGAAAAAATCATCTAGCAATCCTGCTTTATTATTTACTGATCGTGCATTAATATGCACCACTTTAATAAATGCGCATGAAAAAGAAGCAATGCGGTTCAGGTCAGTGGGAAGGTAATACGCGTGTTGTATCATTTTTCTCTTTTTTTTTTTCCCCGTACTGAAGTTGCGCAACATCTATTTCAAACAGGGCCACTTCCGCTGTTGCCGTGTTTGTCTCAAAAGAACTACAAGTATGCGCATTTGCGGGCCTTTTCAATGCGCCCAGTGCTCACCAATGTTAGCAAATGATACTGACGAAGTGCTTACGTGATAACGGGGTTTCGGCACGGCTGTAACGACAGGCAGCAGCAGTCGAAATCTTTCACGGCGTCCTTGCCGAGGCGCATTCGCTGCGTTCCATAGCCGCAACTTTGCGTGTCCTTCTGTTTCTCGTGGTAAGTGTACACCGCCCCTGCAGTGCAGTTTCGTGCGTGACGAGTCATCCCAAGGTAAAACCAAGGGCCAAGGCTACATACAATCAAACACAAGTGGCACAGGACCCGAAACACTTCACAGCCACCAAAACACGCCGAAGTCAGGCTATGGTGACTAGGAGGAGAGGTGTCAGCATCGGCGTGCCGGAGAGCGAGTGAAAATTCATCCGCGTGCTGCAGCGCTGCGGTCGCTTTCGAGATGCCCCTCTTCGCGCTCGCCGTGCGCATCAGTCATTTTTCGTTGCAAATATTTCACGCTGCCCTGCGGTATATCACAAAGTCTACCTGTCACAATTCTGGCGGTGCGCTGCAAAGCGTGTATTGGCACTGAAAACTAGTGTTTTCAATTCACTTCGTAGTATATATGAACTACGAAGCTTAGAAAATATGGAATCAAGTGACTCGCCGTGAGCTTGGCACCAAAACAAAGTCTGTGCAGTTTTCACTCCGATGGCGCAGTGTTCTCCATGAAGTATAAATGCACGTAAAAGTATCGGCAACCGTTATTTTTATGACTTGAGCAATCAAGGTCTAATTTTACAAGCAAAGCATTTATTTTCACGAAAGCGCAAAACAACATAAAAAATAAACATAACATATGCATTAGGACGGAGAGAACAGGTTATACAACACTCAGCTAAAGCAAGTGAATAAGGCAACTAAAAAGACCAGTAAATATACGATGATACAATTGGTGTACATACACACATGGCACTAAGATCTGATTGGCAAACATAAATACAGTCACAGACCAGTTCACAAAAAATTGATTTCTGCATATGTGAAACACAGCGAGATAGTGACATCACAATTGTTAATGGGAGATTTGCAACAATATGAATAAGACAATAGTAAATTCACAAAAATTAACACAGTGTGAGTAATGCACAATAACATAAAATAAAACTTTGTTCGCTGAGTTAACTTTATGACAGTTAAGTCATACGTCTCAACTTCAAGAACTTCATTTTTTCTCTTTCTCGCTCTCTTTGTTTTTTGTTTTTTTTTTTTTTGACTGAACGCAATTTCTCCAGCAACGAGAAAATTCATTCTGGTCAGCGTAAAGCATCTAATTATCTGATTTGTCACTTCCAGTTTGTGGTGTTCACAGCCGATCATATTTAACCTCTTCACAGACTGGCAAGATGATAAGAACTGTTATGCTGTCACTTTTCAACTTGCTAAAACTGAAGCAATAAGGGAATGCATCTTCCATAGCTTTCACCGTGCAGGTCTGTTAAAGACTCGGGCGGGTACGAAAAGCATGATTCTGCCAGAAGCAAGCGGGAATTCTCAGTGTGAAGCAACAACCTGCTACATTCGTTGCATTTCGTCTTTTTCACAATCTTCCGTGCCACATGCATGGCCACTGACGTATTAAGTGATTCGGGAGTCACTTTTGCGTCCAAAGGAGATCAGTGTGGTCAGGGAATGCTTCACAAGCAAAAATCATTTCATGAACGTCATTGAGGCACCCCACATCTAGCAGCTCACCCAGCTTATTCTGCAATTTTATTTAATTATTGTGGATGCTCGGACATAGAAAGCTGCTCAGCATTCCAGAAGATATAAGTTTCCACTGGAGGGTGACTGTGCCAAACTGTATAAACTGAGGCAATTCAAAGACAATATTGTGTCAGCAAAGGGTGATCATTCGAGCCAGACATTTGCTTCAGAATTCCAAAAAGATTTTAAGTGCGTCTTGGCAGAGGCGAGACGTCATCAAAAAATTTATAGCCCAAGGTTTTTGTGACATAGTGCAGGATGAAAAAGGTGCTGGTTAAATTGACATGGTGTCTTTCAGCATGCAGTTCATTCACTCAGGAACCCACAGGTAAAGCTTTTTTCCGAAGTTACTAAGAACCCATTGATAACATGCTTTGTAGCTACGGACGATGAATCTTACGTCCAAATGAGCTTCGCACACAACGCAGTTCTTTTCCAGCGGTGTGCCAGCGCGAGGAATCGCACACTCTCAGGTCTCGCGCCGTTCATCGCCGGCGTGAGCAGAGAAGAGAGACGCTTTCTTCCCTTTTTTGCAAACCGAAAGATATCCTGCGTTGCATACAGGTGCAAATCAGTGTGTTGGCTGTTTACCTATCACTGTGGCATGGTCACATTGGCACGTATTGATGCCGCGGACAAGTCCAAATTGGCAAAGCACAGACGTTGCGACTAGTGCTTCTGTGCTAGTGCCGCCACAGAACACCTACCAGTTTTGCCGCGCTAGCGGCTGGCGAACGCTCTCGACCACGGAGGAAGAAAAGGTGCTTTCGAGCGATTATGGATGAATGGATGGATGGGTACGGCTGTACCCTTTAGATCGGGCAGTGGCTAGCGCCACCAAGGCGTAATACTTATTGAACCAAAAACTATATTTTTTCCCCTTAAATAGTGAGGTTGAGGATTCGTACTTTGCAGTGAAGGGTTTAATTTTCACTCGTGTTTTGACTTTAGCTACTAGTCAGATAACCTCTTTCTAGTTATTTCTACCCACTTAAAGTCTATTTTGCCCTCCCTGTCCCTAAACCCCAACGCTCTGAAAAACTATGCGCCATCATCCTGAACTATAAGGTGAAGCCCTTTACAGAACATTATCAAGTGTTTGGTAGTTTCTTCTTCCTGTCCACACGCACTGCATACCGTGTCTACCCTTTCGTATTTGGCCCGATATGTCTTAGTTCGCAATACTCCCGTCCAGGCCTCAAACAGTAGAAAACTACCCCGAGTATTATCATAGATCCTTTCCTTGGCAATTTCCTGATTAAAAGTTCGATAGAGCTCTAGTGCTTGAAGGTTCGATAGATCATGGTAGCGACTTTCGCGCCGCTCCGCGGCGAAGAGGAAAACCGGCACATCTCTTTTCAAGGCGCGGCCGGGACTAACGTAGGTGGTAATGGTAGTAGTGGTGGTGGTGGTTAGAAGATGAGAAAATGCACGGGAGAGATACTGACACTCCCCTTCTAGCCACCATATAGTCAGGCTCCCCAGCACGGCCCAGTTAGGGTGGCTAGAATGGGGAAGTGTGATGAGCGCGGTGCTTTTTGCTTGTCGGAGAAGGCCCTTTGGCGCGCCGATGCCGCTAGGAGCGCTGATGGCAGCGGCGCAGGTTCTGTTCAGCCTGTCACGGTGGATGGACGTGTTTTTCGAGCGCTCCGGATCGACTGCGCAGATAAGTGTTTTTGCATGTTTTGAGCTTGTCTTTATAATTATAAGGCAGCGGTTGAAATCTTCGTAGCACTTATTTTATGGTACGGCTTTTTCGGGGGCCAGTCACCAGGTATTTATTAGTTAGTGCGGGTGTGTGTGTTTGAAATTTTTTTCTTGTTTTTTTTTTCTTTTGCCACCCCGTGGGGGAGGTGCGCGTACATTTAACACGCAAATTTTTGTAGTAGAGCTTAGACTTTCTTTTTTTTTTCTCGTAGTGCACGGCTCGAGTTTAGTAATTATGGAGTATAGGGACAATTGGTGTCGAAAAGACATGGCTCAAAAGACTGTAAGGTGTTCAGGATGTGGAGTGGGTATGAAAGTGGACCCAAGCGTAGAAGCGGATGGAGAAGAGGCTGACGCGAAGTGTAGGCAATGTGAGGTCGAGGAAAAAAATGGAGAAAATGATGGTTGCCCAAAGTGAACTGCTGGTGAGAATCGATGAGCTCGAGACTGCGTTGGCGACAGAGCAAGAGCGAACGAGGGCAATGGGAGAAAGACTGAAGTCCACCGAGGAAGCACTAGCCAAGGTAAACAGAGCAGCGGCCTACGGAGAGAACAGTAGAGAACCGGCAACCAGAACGGTGGAGAAGGAAGTGCAAGCAAGTTTGGAAAAAACAGGTTTAGCCGGTTCAACTGTCGCAAGGCCCAGCTTCAGCGAGGTAGTGGTGGGGCTGGGAGGGGACAAAGCAGCCGGCGTCACAGGTGCAAGTAGCCCCCAGGTGCAGGACGCTCCAGCTGAAAAGTCACAGCATGTGATAATCGGCGGGGACTCGAATTTAAATCGATGCACAGAAGCCATCGAAGAGAGGGTAAGAGGTGACAAGAGGGTTGCAGTAGGGGCGTTCCCAGGACGCAAGCTGGAAGCAATCATGAGGCAAGCGAGCGCAAAACTCAAAACTAAAGCTGATAGACGAAACCTCGTGATAATTTCAGGTGGTTTAAATGATGTCTTAAATAAAGATACAGCAGGACTAGCAGCCACACTGGCGAAAGGCGTCGATGACATGCGCGCCACTTCTCCTAAGGTACAGGTAGTGATATGCACGATACCGGAGGTACCGGTGCGTGATAGCAACCTGCAAAGAGCGGTTGTCAACGCAAACCAAGAGATATGGCGGATGAGTCGAGAGAAAGGCTTTGAGGTGGTGGAAATAAACAGAGAGGTGCATAGGTGGGGTGGTTTTCAACGAGACAGAATTCACTTCGATGGGCGGCTAGGTCATGAGGTGGGTTGGCGACTTGCAGGACACGCGGTAGCTTTTTTGGGGGGCAGGCGAGCCCTTCGGGGTGCAGGATAGCTAGTAACGAGGAAAACAACCAGGGAGACTTCGACAGGTGTTATGGACAGATACGATTCCAAAGTGGCACCGATGTCTAATATAGGTAGAGTCCTGGGCATAAATAGACGTAGCCACGAGCGCCGAGCCCATTCAGACATAGGGTATATTAACATGCGGGGGGGGGGGGGTAGGAACAGGCTGAAGTGGGAAGAGATAGAAGAACAGCTAAGGGAAGAGAGGCCGATGGTATACGGTTCTGTAGAAACACATCTCAGGGACATGGAACAACCTCCGAACAATCCGGACTACGCGTGGGAATATTGTAATAGAACAGAAGGCAGCAGAAAGGGGGTGGTATTGGGGCATTCATTCATAAAAGTACAGACTGGCAAAGAGTCAAGCAGGAGTGCAAGGAACATTTATGGCTAAAAGGGAAAGTGGCAGGCCAAATGACACTCCTTGGTTTCATGTACTTGTGGACGGGAGCAAAGGCCAGAGAGGAAAACCAGGCAATGGTAGAGTGTATATCAAAGGACATTCAGGAGTTAGGAAGAGAGTGCGAGATAATTATACTAGGAGACATGAATGCGCACTTCAAGATATAGATGGGTATACCGACCCGACAGGCAAAATGATCATGGATATGTGTGAA